CTGGAGAAGATCAGCAAGTTGCCCGGTGACGAGGATGCCATCTACCTTGTGGTCGAAGACGACATTGATGTCAAGAAGGGATGGAAGAAACGCCTGGCATCACTCTGGCCTAAAATACCGGCCGGTTGGGACCTTCTTAAGCTCGGGTATGTAGGCACGGAGTGGCCTTGCGACGAAATCGCAAAAGGGGTTTACATTGCGAAGCTGGCAGGCGGTGCCAGCCGCAGCTTCGGTTGTTACCGGCATTACCTTGGCACACAAACCTACGCAGTGACGAAGCGGAGCGCAGCCAGGATTCTGCAGATCTTGTACAACACGGATGTACGGGACATTGACACAATCCTTTGCACGGGCCACCAGTGCGCCCGCCGCATCCCAGGAAAGAAGACCCCAAACGTGTACACTCTCTTCGACATGAAGCCACACTTCTGGGCAGCGGGCGCACGGGGGTCGGGCGAAGGGCGCGGGCGGCCTCGTGAGACGGCAGCGTGCTTTTCAGAGGGCCCCTCAGAGGGCAGAGGGGGCCTCTGAGAAGCCCGCTGCCTCCTCAGGAGGTCGCCGCCCTCGCCCCCTCCCAGTGTGCGCACTGCCAGACCTCACGGCCGACGCGCAGAAGAACAGCACCATCGGCCATGTCCACTGGATGGGCACCAGCGCGGAGTGCTACGACTCGCTGGCCGGCAGGAACTGCCCGACGCTGATGAAGGCCGCGGCCGCGAGCGGCAGCGCGCTGGCGCTGGCGCAGGGCCCTGCTGCCGCCGCTCCAGCACCGACGCCCCCCCCGGAGTATGTGCACGCTGGCCAGCCCTACGTGGACAAGGTCCAGGAGGAAAACAGAACACGCACACAGGCGTCGATTCCCAAGAGCAAATTTGAAACGTATGGGTAGTGGATGGGGAAGACGAACATTCAGAACTTATGGAAAATATCAGGAATCCAGGGATTTGTATCTATTTGTTTGTGTGCCCCCGGGTCCCTTTAGAGGTCCTGCGCGAGATCTTCCCCGAGTACGACACCTGAGCGCCTGGGCTTCCGGCGGCCGCGCAATCGCGCGCGAGCAGAGGCATCGGACCTGCGGGAAGGACGACGTGGGAGGGGGTTGGGGCGATGGGGAAGGTGAGGATGCAGGATGTTGTGGTAGTGGCAGGAGGCGCAGATAGGAGCAGGCAGGGGTAGGAGGAGGAGCAGGAGGAGGAGGAGGAGGAGGAGGAGGAGGAGAAGCAGGAGGAGGAGAAGCAGGAGGAGGAGGAGGAGGACGAGGAGGAGGAGAAGGACGTGGGAGGCCGATATCGACGAGGATGAAGGAGGAGGAGAAAGGGAGGAGGAGGAGGAGGAGGAGGAGGAGCATGAGGATCCACAGGGCTCATTGGACCATCCAGTGTGCTCATGACGGCTACTGCATCCAGACCGAGGAGGAGAAGGAGGAGGAGGAGGAGGAGAAGGAGGAACAGAGATTGGCCTGTGAGATAACAGCACCTCATTCAGGATGTGGGTTTCTTAAGTTGCATTATTCGAAGTCTTCTGCAGCTTGAAGGGTGGAGGGCGTTTCCTCTCCACCAAACGGAATTCTCGCTTGAATAGCAGCCCCATGGGGCGCACTTCTTTCAATGGGGGCGCTTGGCGCACTGACAGGCAATCATTGTGAGGACGTGTGAGTCGGGCACTTCGGTCGGATGAGCGTATTGCAGCATCAGTGATGCACCCTGGGTATGCTTGTTCTCCTCCTGCTTCTTCATCTCATCCATCCCCCTTCCTCACAATTTTCTTTCTGTCGCCAAGAGCCCGTTCGGAAAAGCCCTGGGCGATCACGGGCGTGACCGGCCCCGCCCCCCCCCTTTGATCACGTCGGGGCGGTCGTCCGGTGGCGACGGTGGATGTCCTGTGGCGCTCGCAGGCTATTGTGGTTTTCAGAGGCATGTTGTTGTGCTCACAGGGACGCTGTGGCATTCGCGAGGGAACGCGGCGCTCGCGTGCGTGCCGCGTGGTACTCTCAGGGACGCAGTGTTGCTCTGTTGCTGAGAGGCATTGGCGCGGCGGTCGGAGCACGGCGCTCGCAGCTGCCAGCGCTGCGGTGTATGCGGGCACTGAACGCGCACGCGGGCGTTGTGCAGTATGTCAACGCGGTGTTCATAGTCGCTGTGGCGTGCGCAGGCACTGCGGGCTCAAATGCAGGGGGCCGTGTCCCGGGCAAGAAGAAAGGAGGACGAGGAGGAGGGGGAGGAGGAGGAGGAGGAGAAGGAGGAGGAGGAGGACGACGACGATTCCGATGACGACGAGCACGACGACGATCCGAGTTCCCAAAGCAACCACATATTCATTCCAGTGTAAATCATATCAGGTTTCGAGTGCATGTCTGACGTATCGTAAATTATCCCAGTGCGACCCTACCTAGGAGTTGGAGCCCCTAGGAAAGCAGCATTAGTAGTAACAGTAAAGCTAAGCTAAAGCTAAGAAAAAACTAAGCTAAAGCTAAGCTAAAGCTAAGCTAAAGCTAAGCTAA